GCAATGGAAGAATGCCACATTTTAACTCAAAATCTCAAGGCTCAAGTTATTGATCATTTCTCTTTATAATATAATCATTCATTAAGCCCAAATTTATCCAATGTGGGACTTCTCATATCATCTTACTTTCACTCATATTTGAACAACCTAACAATCTTCCCCTCAAGTGTGAGTCTATAAGTTTTCTGTTACAAAATGCCCTAAATACTAAGTCCCTGTACTAGCAATCAAGATTAGCTCAGCTTTTTGAGTTTCAAATGATGTGGTGCACGTAAATTTTTAAGTTTCAAATGATATGGCACATACAAATCCCAATTGCATTAAGGGCAAGTCCCATTTTGGGACTCAAATATGTGTGCAATCTTCTGCATTTTAGGATCCAAATTTTCTTCAAATTCTTCTTGGGCTATCACTATATTCCTCATGTAATTAGCGTGCTCCTCCAGAGAGTTCTTGGCCTCCAACTTCTTCTTCACGTCCTCATCCTATGCCTTGTACTTCTCTTCCTCCTGGATCATCCTTTCAATCTCTTCTTTACTCAATTGTCCTTTCTTATTCGACTATGATCATGTTCTTCATCACCCCTGTTGTCATTTATCCTTTATTGACACATTCAATATGCCATTTCTCCACATGTATGGAACCTTCTTGTTTTCTTCATTATTATTTAGAATTGTAGTTGCCACAATGGCCTATAAGGAATAGTTTCAATTAGATTTAAGCAATTACACAATTCTTTGCCATTGAAGAAGTCCTTGAGAAGTTGTTGAACTTTGGAATCCTTGTAGATCTACTAACAAGAACAATCTCATCAACTTTACTCTTATGAATCTAGGAGTTCCTGAAGACGTTTCTTTACATGTTCCATGTATTTTCTAAGCAAGTCAATGTTCAGTTCTCAAATTTTGCTATGGTAACTAACGTAGTTTTTGGTTGGAAGGAAGGGGAGGAAAAAATTTCTCCTCCCCTTCACCTTGCCAAACAAAACAAGGGGAGCTAAAATTTTCCTTCCCCTCCCCTCTAAAGCTTCCCCCCAAATTGGGGGGATCTCTCCTCCCCCTCCTCTCCTCCTCATTCTCCCCCTCCACTTTCCTCTAACCAATTAAAATCTAAAGATATATGAGTATTACAATTTTAGTAGAGGCTATTAATTTGAATTGTTGTCTGAACTGTTGAAAACAAAGTCCTCTTTGCTCTATCACATGTAGATTTCAATCTTCTTAGAGCTCTTGTGTTGTTGCTTATATCCGCCCTTCTGTACCTCTTGATCTTTTCCACCAAGTGATTCACAAGCTTGTTGTCAAATCTTTATCTCTTAGGTAAGTATCACCAGAAATGGACTTTACTACAAAGATTCCATCATCAATTATGATTAGTGAATCATGTTAGGCTATTAAAGCATACATAAACATAAGATGATGTGGGAAGTTTCATATCGGATAAAGTTAGACATAATAATTAATATATAATAAAGAAGAAGGACCTATATACTAAAGCCTTGAGGTTTTAAGTTAAGATGTGTTGTCTTTCCACTGCTTTAACCCATCTCTCCTCTCCCCTATTCTTAGGCAGTCACTTTCCATTCTTAATAAGTGATATCAGAGTCTAGTTTAGCCCGAAACATAAAAGCTTAGTATTGTGCATATGTTTGAAGCCCAAAATAAGAATAGTCTTAACTACTATAAGGACTTGTGTGATGGGTCTTTCCTTTTTATTTTATATTAGTTTGTGTGGAATGTAGGAAGTTTGTAGACTCACATTTAAAGGGAAAGTTGTTAGGCTATCCAAGCGTGAGTAAATTTATATGAGAAAGTTGTTAGAAATAGTCATAAGATGATGTGGAAAGTCTCACATTAAATAAAGTTTGGCTCTTTTATGCATGTAGAGATTCTTCATAGGACATTGTATGCTTTGACCAACACCCTTACAAAATTTATAATTGCTTGCGATTTACAAAAACAACCTTAAAAACCTCAGATTTTAGATAAGCTTCCTGCTATAAGAGCTAATATTATTAGAAGCTCATGATGACATTCTTCGACTTTAGGTAGTTATTTTTCATTAAGAAATTTACTCCCTTTGGTTCAAAATATAAATAGTTTGTATAGAAAATCTGCATATCAATTAAGTCCTTATTCCTATAAAAAAATATTATTTTTCCTTTGTACTACTCCTAGTCCCAATTATTAATGCACTCTATAATGAGTTAGGGATATATTTATACGAAGATCTAGGTTAAAAAATGCAAGGGATAAAATGGAAAAAAAAAATCTTTTATATGCACTAGATTACTTATATTTTGAACTAAAATTAAATGGAAAGAATTGTTTACATTTTGAACTAGAGAAATTATTGCATATTTACATATTTTACAACTTAAGCTTTACATACAATAGTATGGGCTATGAGATTGTGGCAAATTAAAGGAGTATGCTAATCTACCCAAAATTGTAGAAAGTCAAGTTTTCAAGTTTGTCATGAGTAATGAACCAGATAGATGTTAAAAACCTAGGAAGTTTTATGTTATTTGTTGGCTATTAGAAGAGTTTTGTTGGTGTCATGACCATCATTTAAAATGTTACTCACTCAAAAAGTGTTTCACATACACGAAAACAATGTTCAATAACAACTGTTACAGATTTTATCATATAACAATTAGAAGGCACCAAATTTTAAATTTTTGGAGAAGATAATATACATGAGGAATGTTTTAATCATGAGAGTTATTTTGAATTTTTGAAGGAAAATATATCTAAATAATTTTTAAATATTGATAAAATTTAATAGTTGTAATTAGGGAAATTATAAAGTGTGTGGATTTAGGTCATTTACTAGATCAAGGGCGGAACTAGCTATAGATATGTGGGGGCCAATTTTTTAATATATATATATATATATATATATATATCAAAAATAATGTTATAACTTATAAAATAGAATTAAATAAAAATATTTTCCTTTATATAAATATTTTAAAATTCGTATCTTTTTAATTTATAATTTAAAAATATTTTTCAATACAGCTTTCCATTTTTAAAGAAAATTTTTAAGGATTAAATATCATTCATGGGCAATACAAAAATAATTATAACAAAAAACTAAAAAATTGAAATGACCTTGGCATGTTGTCCTTGCAAGTAAATATGATCAAATTAAATATCAATATAAGAAACATCACGTCCTTGAGTAAGCTTTTTTCTTTTCTTTTTTTTTTGAACAGGGCCCTTGGGTAAGCTTTTAACTGGACAATACCATAAACTATTTCCCTCTTCCACAGTCCCACTAGGCGCTATCTTGCTGAGAAGTGAGAACAACGGTCTTCAACAACACTATTTTTGTTGAATAAACTACACTTTTTACGTTCATTGATTCCTCCGATCTTATGCTTCTCTCCTTCTCTAAATCAATTTTGGCTGTCCTTCTTTTATTATGAATTTCTTGAATGTTCATTTTTTTCTCTCCTGTCTCAATTTCTGGAAATTCATCGCTTCCTTTCTTTCTCTCTCTCACACACACACACGCGAGGATGACCCCTCAACAATAACATGAATCTGCTAATCTGCTACCGCATCGAATCTAAATCCGTGTCATCACATGCTCCTCCTCATATTTCTAAAGAATTGATTAAAGAGAATTGCATCAATTTTGATTGTGTGTTTCATGTGTTAAAGGTATAGATAGAGTCGGTAATAAGAATCGAGTCTGAAGAGCCGTCTGTTTAAGCCTATTTTTATAAGGGTTTGAGGTTTAAAAAATGACATTTTTTTTAAAAAAAAATCAAGCTTTTAAACCCCACCTTGATAGGCCCTAAGAAAACTGACTCGAGCAGCTCTTTTAGGCCCAATTTTTCCTCAAAAAATAAAGTATTTTTAATTTTTAAATTGAATTTAAACTTTAAAATATATGTTTATGCTTTAAAATTAAAATTTTTATTATTTATTTTTAATTTTTAAACATTATAATTTATATTTTTTAAAAATATATGAAACATTAAAATTAAAAATTTTAATTTTTAAAAATTTTAAAAAATAAAAAATAATAATAAAAGCTTACATGCCTAGTCTTGAGCTCTTTATATAAGGGTCAAAATTTAAAAAATAAAATATCTTAAAAAAATTAAGTTTAAAGACTTAAGCCCATAAACGTCAGGTCTTTAAAAGTGAAGTTCACTCATTTTTTAACTCTAGACATAGATAAATGGAAAGGCATGACAAATGGCGGGAAGATATTGTGGGACTGAAAGGGATTGATTATATTATTATGCATTTGAAAGATCAGGTTTCATTGATCATGCCGAATCTTTGATAGCTCTAATATATGAACATTATTGTTTTTTATTATTAAAGGTCTTGTTTTTTATTATATATGTCACACATTATTAAAGATCTTGTCTCATATATGAACACTATTGTTTTTTATTTAAATAACAAAGTAAATTAATTTTTAAATTATAATTTATGAGCTTTTGAGACTTAAACTTATTTTTTTAAAAATATTAAACTTATTTTTTTAAAAAATAATTTTCTTCAGTTTTTAAAAATAATATAATTTGACCCCCTTATGGTGATATTAAAATTAATTTTAATAATTAATTGATAAAAAAATAACATAACAAAACTTTAAAAATTATAAAAAATTAATAAAATTAACATAAAATATCCAAAAAATTACAAAGATGGATCAATTTTATATCTTTTATAATTTTTCAAAAATAAAAATATTTAATTATAATATTTTTATTTAAATAATTATAAAAAATACAAAACATCACCTCTAAATATCTTTTATTTTATATAAAAAAATAATAATTAAAAATTAAAATAAAATAAAATTGAGAAGTCAAGAACTTATTTATATATATATATATATATATATATCAAAGAAAGACAAGTTATAAATCATTACATGGCCTCCATTATTTTCAGTGCCAACAAGTGTAATTTTAGACATACTTGATTCTAACTTTCAGTTAAAGTTCTACCATGAAATTCTTCGTTTAATATTTTTTTTTTTATAATATATGAATAAATTGTACAAAAAGAAAAAAGAAAATTCTGCTCACTCACCTCCTTTCTTTTTCCAATCAAGTTCTTCGAAAACTCCTACAGGGCACAAAAGCTAACCGGAAAACTAATACTTAACGAACTAGAGATCAAACCGTCGGCGGTTTGCCGCCTTCCTCAGCAGGGCTTCACGGCCAGGAAATGGGCTGTTGATGCGCTCAATCTCTCCCTGAGACCGATACAATACGCCTTCGCCGTCGCCGTCGCCGTCACCGTCAATTCTATTCACAAAGCTAGCCCTCTTCTCTTCCTTCATTCCGGCCTTACTTCTCTCAGTTTCCCCCCACACAGTGCGAATTCGACCACCCTCTTCCCTTGTCGTCGTCTTCTTCTTCTGCCTCTCTCTTCTCTCCTTCCGCCTCCCTGCAACTGCCGATTCAACCTCCAACATCTGTTTCATTATCTTCTCATCGTCTTCTCCCTCTTCCGTTCTCACCAGTCTCGGAATTCTACCACCCCTGGACGTGCCAAGAAGCTCGAAGTTGATTTTGCCCCAACCGGCCTTGTCATTGTTGTCCCAACCGAACCTGTCGCTTATCTCCAACAGCTCCGAAACTGCACTGATGTCACCTGCTCTCGGAGAAGATACCGCCCTAGATCGATTACCGTTCAGTACATTCTCTGCGAATTCCCACTCGATTCGGTCCTTGTAAATTGGGTCTTCCAGTACTTGGTCTGCTAACTTTGCCCACTCCTCGAAGTCGCGTGCGCGCAGATTCTTCGAGACCCATTTGAGGTAGCTTGAAGGGAGGCTTCCAAGCATCTTGCCCTTGTATTTTCCAAAATCTATTACTCTGTCTCTGGCTGGGATTATTTGCGGCGAGATCAATTGCTTGGGAGGTGTTTGGCGTCGGAAATAGCATATCACCGGCAAGAATAATCGATTCTGGTGATGGACGGGATTTATTAGGGAGATAGATGTTCGAATATGAGGGAGATTCATGGAGGAACAGAGTACTGAATTTGAAAGCTCAAAATTTTGGATAAGGGTTTCAGAACTTGGAAGCTGCAGAGCTGAGAGCCTGAGTACAAAGAAAGTTGCGAAGAACAAAAACGACGATAGATATTTTACTCAAAAAAGAAAAACGACGATAGATGACAGCACAATCGAGGAGGGAATTCCTGAATCAGGCTACATCTCCGTGAAAAAAAAAAAAAAAAGTTTAGAAAAGAAGGGCAATAATATCTCACAAAAATCTTACAATAATAAAATTTATTATTTTAAAATTTTATTTTTTAATAATAAAATGATATTTTATAAATTATAATTTTTTATTTAATTTTTATAATTTACAAAATAAAAATTATTATTATTTAAATAAAAATTATGATTAAGGTTTGCATTTTAGTATCAAAAATTATATCTTACAACTTATAATTTTTTATTTAATTTTTATAATTTATAAAATAAAATTGTAATTTCTTAAATAAAAATTATAATTAAGTCTTAATATTTTTAATAAGAGTAAACTGATTTTTTTTCAAAAAAAATTATTGATAAAAAGGTTTATAGAGATTTTATCAATGTTATAATATTTTAAAAAATTAAATTATTATTCATATAATTTAAAATTTTTTATTATCATTCTTTTAAAAAGTTATGACATGTATATATTTATTAATTAATATTTATTAATATATATATATATATATATACCAAAAAAGGTATAATTATCAGTTCATAATTTTATCTAATTTTATTTTTAATTGTTATAATTTTTTTAATATTTTAATCAAAATTAAATGATATTTTTTAAAAAATTTTTATATTTTAATAGTTTTAATTTTTATAAAAATTAAAAGAATTAAAAAATTATAAGGTATTAAAAGTAAAATTTAATAAAATTATAAAAATTAATAGTTATGTTTTAGGGAAAATGACAATAAAATTCATTTAAATTATGTAAATGATAAATTGGTCCCACTAAATGACATAATTTCTCTGGTGTCCTAAGAGATGTTTCTGTTATTAGAGAATTATAAAAAAGAACACTTTTACCTTTTATTGAAATTAAAAAAATTTGCTACTTTTCATTCACAAATTTTGTCCATATATTAATAAGTTTCATTTCTAAATTTACAACAATTTAATAACTATTTGCAAGTCCTAATCTACAAGTTTTAATATGTATTAGGTGTTAAAAATTTATAATTTCTTTATTCACAATTTTTGTTCTCATATTAACAACTTTTATTTTTAAATTCACAACAATTCAATAGTCATTCATAACTCTATATTTACAGGTTCTAATATATATCAGATATTGAAAATTCGTAACTTTCTGTTCACAACTTTTGTTCATATATTAACAATTTTTGTTTTTAAATTCATAACAATTTAATTGTCATTCACAACTTTAAATATAAAGGTTATGATATACATTAGATTTTGAAAATTCGCAACTTTTTATTCACAACTTTTATTTTTAAATTAATAACTTTTGTTCCTAAATTCGCAACAATTCAACAAAGAATTGTAATTTATTAGTATCCTCTATAAATTGACTAAATCAACAAAAATAAATTACCACTCTAATTCAAGAAATAACAAATGAATAACTTTCATTCATTTAAATGATAAGAAAACCTTAAAAAGTAACAACCATCTAAAATTTTGTTATCAGTTACATGATCTACAACTTGTATCAAAATACCCTACAATCTTTTTAACAAAAATATATGAAGGGTTGAATCTTCTAGTGTCATTCCAACATGTTAACCATTCTCATGCCAACCTGAAACAATAAAATAATCATTCATCAATATATTTATTTTTCAAATATTATAATCATATATCTGTTATGTTTGATTTAACAACAACTATTCTACTTATATTCACAACTTTGTATTAGTCATTTACAACTTTGATTTATGCATTTATAACATAACTGAAAATAATATATTATTTATCATTTATTATTTATCCATGAATAAGTATCTATCTCACGTACATAAGAGAAAATTAAAAAATGAAGATCTTAATTATGAAGAGAAAATAAAAATCTCGATCATTTATACATATTAACTCACGTCAATTTCAACTATCACATATGAGAGGAGAAATTTTTAAAGAGAAGAAACTTACTCACATATACACATAATGTACAGTTAAAGGAACTCATATATAAAAACTCCAAAAAAAAAAAAAGTAGACGAGAAGGACAAGGGGAAGAAAGAGAAGAAGGAGAAGGAGGAGATGGAATTGGAGAAGGAGAAGGAGAAGGAGACGAACTAAAAGAAGAGAAGAGGAGGAGAATAAAAAGATGAAGTAGATGGAAAAAACGCATAAGAATGACTCTAGCTTGATATTTTTGTTTTATTTGAGAGTAATTTAATCATTTTTTTAATTTTTTAATGATAAAAAAATTGCATGGAATTTTAAGAAAATTATATTATTTTATATCATTCCCCCATCGTTTTATCCGCAAAAATATATTTTATGTGTTTATTTTTTGTCAAACTATCTTTTTATGTGGTCCGTGCTAATAAGTAGTATGTACTTTTTTGAAAACCTCGTGGCGCAAACTAGCCCACGAATCACGATCTGAGAAGTGAGAACGGGTAAATTTCTGGGAGAAGAACTTGCATATACTGCATTTATATATTTTTAATTAAATTCTTTACGTCTCTGCATCTAGCCTGGAGATTTACAATTATTTGTCTCTTTCGAAGTGCAGTAAATTCCAAATAACTGACTTTCTTGCCTTTTTTTTTTTCCCCTTCACGGACTATGAAATATGCATGGAAGAAAATAATTTAAAAAGCCAGCCATGTGGATTTTCCTAATTTTGACGACCGCCCAAAATCATCGTCTTGATCGGTGGAAAACAATATGTGAGAAGGAGGCATTACCTGTGGAAATTTCAATTTTGCTTATCCAATTGTACGTTGTACGTCACGTTAATTTGGGGATAGCAGGGCGGGGAGGCATCTGGTTCAGCTTATTTCCAGTTTCAGCACCATTCTTCTCCTCCTTCTTCTCAGGTTCAAGTTTTTCAGAACATGTCAACATGTTGGCAAGGTCTCACGAGTACTGTGGGGAACGCTCTTTCGATACCGCAATCACAGGCATTGTTTCACTCACCTGTTACTACTTCTATGAGCATCTCCAGGGTTCCTTCTTGTTCAGCCACTGGCCTCAGGGACATGTCCATACTTCCCTTAGAACCCAAAAGCGCCTATACTCAACAGGTGATACAGGTCAAGCAGAGCCAGAAAGGCAAACCCAAAAAACAAAATGATGAGGAGGAGGCTGATGAGGACGACGACGAGGAAGTGGGGATCTCTAAATTACAAGTGCCCAGACAGAAATACATACCTGTTTCCAAGTCAGAGCTTTTAGATGCTATCATTTCTATGAAGTTTAAATCTGACGACCAAGATGGTATCCATCACTTTCGCCTTCTTGCCTCGTAAGATCACCTCTTCCTATTTGGATCATTCTTTTATTTCTCTTCTTTTTCACTAACCCCCTCCCTTTCCCCCAAATAATCATCACACACACACACACACAAATGAAGTATGTTATGTACATGCTGGTCACTTCGAGTTGCTTTTAGATATGGGCTAGTGGGCTATTCAGTTTGTCATGTCCATCATAGAACGCTAATCAAACAAATAGCATTTGTAGTATATCTATGCAATTATAAGTTATTAACTATGCTTTTAAACGGAATGAAGGGTGAATCTCACTGTTTATAGCTTATAAATTGACATTTGTATCTTAAAGAAAATCGTTAATTCAAAAGTTAGTTAAGATAGTTGTACGTGTACTAGTATTGTCGTTAGTTAACAGAATATCACAGTTAGTACTCAGTGATTCAATGTTGATTCTATTACTTACATTTTCCTCTATTCTTCTTTCCCTTTCTCTTTATGGGTCATGAATAATATGTCTTCTAATAAATTTTATAGTCATGTTTTTTCCTCTACCCATATGAATTCTCTGGTAGAGTGAGACAAGGAACTGAACTCTATGTAATCAAGCATCTTTTTTTGCTAATATATTTGTGGTTGTCTCCGTCCCCAATATCTCATCACATGCCTCTTTGGCGTAATTGCAGGTGCTTAGACTCTATACTTCATGCTGAGCACAAAAGGATCTTAGAAGAGATGCGTTCTGATTATCAGGCTACCAATTCAGTGGAAACTGAGGACTTCAGTCCACCCTATTCAGCTGATTCAGAAATGGTACATATGGAGAATGGGTATGAGTCTGACGGAATTAGCAATGGTAGCATCCTTGGAGTTGGGGACAGTGAGGCCTATCAAGATATGGTAGATGAAGCTGAATGGCAAATGCCTTTTTTCTGCAATGGTTTAGACCTGAGAAGTATTTTACGTTCCCTGGAGAAAAATAGCAAGAAAGATTCTAATACAGGGTCCAGGTACTCCTCTAAGAGAGTGATGAAATCACATATCATCATTTATTTTTCTGTTCAATAACTTCATTGGAAATAGGTCAGTTGGAAAAAAAAAATATATTAGGACTTCAGTGGTGTGACATTGAACTTTCTCAAAAACTTGGAAGGACTAACTGTCTTTTGATCTACAGTTCTTCTGATTACCCAAAATGCCATTCCCATCTCTCAATTTTAAATTTTAAATTGGGTACTTCTAGTTTTCAGTCAGGAAAGCAACTACATTGCATAGGAAAACCAAATTAACAAAATCATTGTCAAAAGAAAGATAATGAACTTGTTAGAAATATACGTAGATCTTGTGTTTTAAAAGGAATCAATGGAACGATATAGCACTAAGTCCTGGGTTACTGTTGCAGCATAACTTGTGATATCAGTTTGTTTTTTTATGTTTAAAAAGAGGGGGCAATCATTTGAGTTCTATGCTTTTCTTCCATTTGGTTTTTATTTGCAGTTTTGTTTTCTTTGTTTGCAGAGTTACTGTTGCTTCTCGATTCCAACGTGCTTTCATGCAACTTCTTTCAAATGCTCAATTTGAAGAACTGTCAGCTACGGATCTGATGTTAACATCTGCTTTGAACACAGACTATCTTCTGAATTTGCCAATATACATTGATTGGAAGAGAGCGTATGAGTCCAATGCCATAATATTTAGGTAATTCCATGATTATGAAGATGTTTCTATTTTCATATTGAATTTTAAAATGTCGAGAAGTTGATCTTGAATCCACAATACCATGTAAAAACAGAAAAATCAATTTTGCTTTAAATCTTTTTTCGAGGTGGAAAAGGGTTAAATCAATTTTTAATATACATGCTCAAGTAAAATAAAGCTTCTGGATTCAAGTAATAAAACAACAACAACAACAAGCCTTTATCCCACTAGGTGGGGTCGGCTACATGGATTGCAAGACGCCATTGTGCTCTATCACTTCTGGATTCAAGTAATGTTTGAGATAAAAATAAATTACAAATTTTTTCATTTCTTCCGTTTGTGCAAGAATAACATATCATCATTTTCTACTGTAGGCGGGGATATGCAACTGAGAAGCAGAAGGGGCTATTAATTGTTGAAAAACTGGATTATCTTCAGTCTAAACTTCTGCGAAGAATCTTCTTTATTATATCAAAGCCCTTGGGGAGATTAGGCACTTGGATAAGTGAGGTCATTATTTGTGGCAATTCCGTCATTTAGCTTTTCCACCAATAACATAAGCAGATATTCATTCATATATCATATGTCAAGCATGGCAATTGGAAATATTCAATAATTTTTTGTTGACAAATATATTCTGTTTTTTTCCCCTTTTGGCCAACTAAAAGTATATTCATCTGGTCTGGCTTGTCAAATATAGACAATAATAAATTCCTATTGACTCTTTAAAGTTTTGTCAAGTTTTATTTCTTTAACTATAACATGTTTTGTACTCTTCTTATGCAGCTTTACAAAAATGCAAGTCAGAAAGAAGAAATACAAAAGTGGTCAAACGGATTGAAGCTTTGGCTAAATGAAGTGTCAATATTTCAGAAATCATTACTTTATAATGGCAATGCTTCAGATGAGCAACAATGGTTAAATGAGTTAAATGATGGAGAACTCCCTATTGGGCTGGCAGCTCAGAAAGCAGTAGCTCGATATGAAGGGATTTTGTCAGCAGTTGGTCCCCGTGAAAAGCTCTTGAGGAGGTTGCTTTCTTGGATTGGACTGATCCCCCCAACACCTGAAACAACTCTCGAGGATGACAATGATACTAATTCTCTTGAACCTTACTTGAGGTTTGTTTGTTCTTCATAATTTTTTTTTTTTAAAACTTATTTAGATCTGCTGATGCTTCTCTTATTCACACATTTTAGAAGTCCTTTTATTTCTCCATTTCTACTAGATGCTGTGATAATTTTAGGCTATGAAGCATACACACAAGATAGATGAAGCACAGACACCATGACATATCAGGATTGGATGCAGCATGGACATTTATATTAAAAATATACAACTATGTAAGTATTGATATGTTAGTATGAAAACACTTAAGAAGTATATGAAAATATGCCTAGTATTTAACAAACATCAAATATTTAAATTTGATAGTTTTTGTTCATAAAAGTATCATTCAGTACTGTTGGTGCATTGACATGAGTGCCAAGAGTCTGATCTGTGTCAAACATAGACAGCTTCTTTGATGACACGATATTTACCTCAGCTTCTAGGTAAACATAAACTATTTTAATGGTAATGCTTTCAGCCTCGATTAACATCGGAGGCTGATTTAAGATGTTTACGCTCAAATCCCCACTAGCACAGAACAGGATAGCTAGATCGTACAGATTTGAATAAAATTTTAAAAGAATCAAATGGGTTTATTCTTTATCCTATTTTTTTGTTTTACTTTGGCAATTAGGGATAATAATTGGTGTGAACTGCATATAAAACTGAGGCCATGTAATAGATCTGAAGTCACTGGAAAGATAATATATCTGTGAAATAATATATACCTGTCTTGATGTCATATAAAGTTTTTAACGGCAAGGTAGGTTACGTGCTCAGTAAATTTTTTAATTTGCAAGTTTAGGTGTAATTTAGTTGAAACGTCATCTTGTGAGATGACTGAGAAATAAAATTATCCATCCAGGCCTACGTCCTTGTCAAGGATATCGCTAAGTGATATATGGAGGCCCGCAACAAGGAAATACTGTGGAAATAATCCCTGGAAGATGTTGAAAACTTCAATTTCCATACTTTTCTCACAGTCAATTATCCAGGTATTTGTCATCTATATGCACATAGTTTTGTAATTGTTTAATGCTGTATAAATATGTATTAAGTAAATTACAGTTTCCTCTTTATTGAGAAGTTGAAGTTACACAACTTCCCCCGTGCTTTGAAAATCTATACTTCTTTCTCTTGTGAAATCAAAAGATGCACTTCATTCACTTCCTTATATAAAAGATAAACCACAATTACATCTATTTTGATTAGAATGCCGTTATACGTACATACACACATACATATATACAAATCATGTTTTAGCATATCAAGTATTGAATATGTTTTGAGAGAGTTGGTGGACATTTATTATGGACCAACATAAAAGAATTAATTTTATAAATTTATAATTTGAAAAAATTGAATTCAGAACTTTTAACACAAAATAAAAAGGTTAAAAAAATTCAGTGCTATATATCTTTACAAAAAAAAAAAAGAAAAGAAAAAAACCTAAGTGGTTTGTATATTGTAAGATAAAGGATGATTTTGTAATTTTAGTGACTCTAAAGGGTGAGGAATGTAATTCATTCACACACACACACACACAATAATATTTCAGGGAACTGATCCAACATTACTTTTGTTCATGACTTACTGAGATTCCTCATATTTATGACGTAAATGTTTAAGCAAGTTTTCTGTCCTTCTTCTGCATTGTTTGGGCAGGCAGCGTCATCTTTTTCCTGATTAATATCATACTTCTTTGCTTTTATTTTGGGACTGATTTTAAGTGTAACTTCTTAATTCTTAATTTTTTTTTTTTTTGGATGCCAACATGTAATTTCTGACGAATTGGGTAGAGCATGGTGCAGTGTTGGTATTCGATCATCCAACTTCCTTTCAGCAACATGAATTATGCCATGTTGCCCCTTTTTCCTTTTTGCAGATTTCTTTCTGTCAGCTATTAAGTTTACACTGTTTCCATTAAGAAAAACTGATAAAATCAGGTTCCCTAGTTGTGACTTGTGATAGTAAATAAGAAATAGAGTTCTTTAGTGGAAGTGCTATTCTGTTGTGTAGTTATATGACTATCTAAATAATTTATTCATTGATTTACTTTCATAATAGGAGCCAGCATTTGAAGAGTTAATTTTACTTTATACTAAGGAGGTCAGTGAAAGAGATGCCAAAGATAAACCCACGGTTCCAGAGTTGCAGCTAAAGATCTATGAAAGAATTCCTATTCCAGATTTACCGGTAAAACTTCTGCAACTGCAGGGACTGTCATTGTCTCATGTGTCAGTAGTCATAAATCTCTGGTTATAAAGCTCCTCAAAACGTTCATTCTGATTTGAAGTTTTCCTTTATGAATATAATTATTGTTTAACTCCTCAGATGTTGTTAAATGTTGTTTGCAGGTAATTTTCCCCGACAAAAAGCTATCATTCCGCGTCATAGACACGGTATGAACAAGTCAGCTAAAGTCCTGACTACCAGCTTAAATTTTTCTGATGTTATTGAAAAGTTCAGTTTATCTTTCATTAGCAAGGTAGCCTGTATTCACTGATGTCACTTTTTGTTTAGACTAGTCTAACTGTATTGATAGACCCGTTATGCTTTCCATTTTTTGTGAATTTAATTAGAATTTCGTCATATAATACTGTTTGTTTATAGTGAAGGTGATACGTGGGAATTGGGAAATAGTAATGGTAATTGGGGGGAATTAGGGATAAAAGGTTTAGTTTGGGTATTTAGTTATATTCTTTGTAAATAGGGTCTCAAGGTTGTAATAGGGTATTGTGAATGAAATTACTATTTCTCTCTCTATTTTTCTTCTACCTCAATCAAAGGTATCAGAGCCTCTTCTCTGGCCATGGAGGATTTGTCGGAGATTCAATCCTCCAATCATATTAGTGAATCGGAGCATCACCTTGAGCTTTAGCAAGCCATGCTTAAATCTATTAGCACTTGTCTGGCCTAACACTCTCATGTTATCGAGGAACTCAAGCAAGCAGTTTCTCGTCTTGCAAAGTCTATGCATGCTATTGATGCTACTTTGTGATCAATGGTCACCGGAAAATCAATCCTCGCAGCAGTTATTGAGTTAGCACAACAAGCAAGAGACTACAGTGGAGGAGTACCAGCGGAAGTTTGAAACACTCTTGCCATACATGAAGTTACTGGAGTACACTGCCATCAATGTCTTCATTAATGGACTCCAACTAGAGATCTAATGAATCGTTCAGTTCATCAATCCAAGAACCGTTGCTAATGTGATGTATTTTGCTGATCTTCAAGGAAGATACAGATGGAAGAAGAAAAATGATGGTTAAGAGGATGAACACGTCGTGGAAGAGTTCAAGATTCTAATGCAAGAAGAACAAGGAAGTATAGACATAGAATTTGATAGGATCCAAGATAGGCAGAGAGAAATAAGAAAGATAAATATCTATTAACATATAAAATCAGAATCTAATTTCATAATATTAATAAGAGAACATAGAACTGATGGAAGAAAATAGAATGAATAAATCTATTAAGATGATATAAAACAAGAATCTCTTTTATACTTCTCTTAATAGCCACGCTTGGGAGAATTTCTGAGAGGCCAAAAGTCTCAAAAGTTTGTTTTATTTATGATATGACTGCTTCTGAGTTGCTAAGTGTATTTATAATGCTAAATACAGTCTAAAATAATGAATAAAATTTAGATAATTAGATAATTAAATAAAAATGAACAAAATCTTCTACAATCTATATCTATATAAGATACTGAATAAAATCTAAATAAAATATAAAAAACTGAATATCTACATAAAATTTTAAATAACTAGACATTTGGATAAATATCTAGATATCTAAATAAATATCTAAATATCTATATAAAATCTAGATAACTAAATACCTAAATAAAATGTAAATAATATTATTAGACAGAAAATATCTAAAATAAATGGGTAAGGGTACATTTTTGCTCCTAAAGTATTTTCCAAGGAGCACCCAGTATTCTAATGTTTTTGTTAGAGTAATTTTGCCCTTAAACTTATTAAAACAGAAATTTTTGCCCTTTGTGTCAAATTTCCGATGTTGACCTAAACGTTGACAGCTAGAAAATTGATGAAAAGGGCAAAAATGTTCCGTTTTAATAACTTTAAAGGAAAAATTGCTCCAAGAAAAACATTAGGGTGCTGGTTGCTCCTTGATAAATACTTTAGAAGTAAAAATGCACCTTTACCCAAAATAAATTTAAAATAATATTTATTCCTAATATCTCTCTTCCCAAATCCCCCATGATCTCGGTACTCTATCAGAATTCAAGATTCATAAACAAGTAGTAGATGAAAAAGATGAAGACACGAGCGAGCGAGTTATCTAGGACTTTGTTGTGGATTCAAAACTCATCCTTGTTGACGAAGAGATGAAGGATGAACTTGCTGAGACAGGGAATGTTGATACCTTGAAATTGGACAATGTCATTGCAAGCATTGTGGAAGACCAAAAGAAGCAAGATATTGAAGAGATGGAGAAACAGAGCTGCCAAAAAGGAATTGGGAATGGTAAGGGTAATTAGGGATAAAAGGGTAGTTTGGGTATTTAGTTATGTTTTTTTATAAATAGTGTCTCAAGGTTGTAATGGGATATTGTGAATGAAATTACTATTTCTCTCTCCATTTCTCTTCTAACTTTATCAGAAGGTTTCTTTATCCTGTATTGTTTAGCCTGATGGCCTTAACTTCGCCCTGACAGGTGCGCTTGGATGCTGCTTCAATATTGGGACTTTTGGCATTCATCATAAACTACAAATTTGAGGACGTCTTATCTTCACCGTATGTATATCTTAGTTCTCATATTAATTATTCTGAAAAATGTTGCAGCAATCCTTTTATAAATGTTTGGACTTAATTGTAATTTGGATTTTCTGATTCTCAGTAAACCATGCCTTGACAGTCTGGAATATGTTATTCACAAAGCAGATTGATTCCCGAATCTTGTGTATTTTTTGCTTCTGTACATGAACTATATTTGTAGAAGATAATTGTCAAGCTTGTCAGTGTACCTCTACAAGCTATATGCGCATGCTGGGTTTTTTCTTTTTTTTTGGGATAAAATATGCACATATTGTTGAACTGAACATATTATGAATTGTCATTCTTCTACATATTGTTAATTTTTGAATTTATCTATCCACTGTTTTGAATTTTTGTTATTCCATTTTGCCCTGGCAATGTCTCATGCGTAGGAAGTTTTACTTTTGAGGAAATGTTGAGCGCCTGTAAGAATACTTTAATTGTTATGACAGGTCAGCTATATTTCTTGATGCGGTTGCTGTAAGTGCTCTGATAATATATGTGAGCCGTGTAGTCCTAGGTTACAAGCAGACATGGGATCGGTATCAGGTAAGTTAAAACCATATTTCTTATGTACCACCTGAAATTGTCATGCTAGAGATAACAATGAAAATATTAGTGATTTATGCCACAATTAGCATAAATGCAAATTGATGAACTGTGTGAAATGTTTTATTTTATTGCAGCTATTAGTCAACAAGACTCTTTATGAGAAAACAATAGCGAGTGGTTTTGGCTCAGTGCATTTTCTTCTAGATGCTTCTGAGCAGCAGCAAGTGAGAAACTCTTCTCCCTGTTTTTGTTACAATCATATTTTCAACTTACAGAAGTTAAATTGTTCAACAGAATGAAAACTGAAACTTACTGCATAGGTCATGTGAAATACACACCTATTGATATATGTAGCGATATGCAATTAATGTGGCTGATCTCATCTAGTGAGATAAGACTTAGCAATGTAAGTTTTGGTTGTCTTCATAAAAGTACTCCAAGTAGTAATAACAGAAATTTTAGCCTGTCAAGTACACTGTACTCCATTGTCCATTGCTATAATTTGGTTACCATTATTTCATAGTGTAGACGGGCAATATAAAATTTTTCCCTTTTTAGATAAGTGCAGCAGCACTTCCCTAATTTTTCATTTGAAGTTTTTGTCTCACCAGTTTATGTGATTTACCCAAGAATAGAACAATATAAATGTTTCCCAAGGTGAAGGGAACTTGGAAAGGCATGATTTGGAAGTCCTTTTGGAAATATATTATCAGCTGGTGTTCAATTCAATTTGATCATGATCAGATACACTTAGACAAGTAATTTAATTTTGGTAATTATTGACAATTATGGACTGATTACATGTGGTTTTATTTTAATGTTATGAAATTGAATGTCTTAACAGAAGCTATTTTAGATGATGCGAAAGTGAGGGGGGACATGAAAATTTGTGTCCCTTTTAACTTTCCAGCCTCAAAATTTGGATGCATACTGATCTTTACCTATCAAGAAACTTAAGAGTTTACAATGCTTACAATTGCAGTACAAGGAAGCTATTTTGGCTTATGCCATTCTACTCAAAGCAGAGAAGGGTCAGGTTTGTTCCTCCTTTTTCTTATTCTTATGGCAATGATATCATTGCCAAACTTCTAGCACGGTTTGTTTCCCATGATTTCAGAGTAGAATAACCTGGATAGGTCAACTGACGTAAAACAGCCCTAAAGACTAGATAATGAATTTAGATCCTCTTTAGTGGACGAATGAAGGGAGTGAGAGAGTGGCAGGACCATACTTTTATGGTTTTTACATGGTTTATTTAGGAGAAAGATAAAGAGAGCGATGGGCCTCATATTCACTCTATCTCTCTTAATTAAAATACTGGGGACTTGGTTTCTTTCCACTATGTCTTCATTACAAATTTGAACCGTTCACATCAAATTTCAACGGTACATATTAATGTGGACTTTTAAAAACTATCAAATCTAAATCATCAAATCCAATCTGATAATCTAGATTTGCAGTTCCACTGCAACGGAGAGCAGTGGAGAGAAGCTCCCTCCAAATACTAGACGCATGATAAGCAGTGTCCATCTTTCTTTTCTTCTTTCTCTTTGTAGAATCTCCAAACACTAGAGGAGATGCACACCATTATACATAACCAAATTCCTGCATGTAGGTCACTTGTCGACAGAGTGTTAAAGACAAATGTGAGAGATTTATGTACGAAGCGTTCAAAGTAAAGGTAAAACTTGAATCATTCTCTTTTTACTACTCATATGGTGATGATGGAGAGTTGACAATGGTGACTATATATTAAGTATTAATTAACTTGAAAAATGGCAGGTTGAAATGTCAATTGACAAAGCTGTCAATACGCTGTCAAGGCTGAGCCTAGCCACTGAAACTGTCATTGATGGAAGACTCCAGTTAGTGGCGACCCCATGTTCAATGGCACATGAGGCCCTTCAGCAACGATGGAACAGTTTGCTCTCATAACCCCATACATGTGTTTTTCTCCACTCTTCAAGTATATCCTTGTCAAAGAGAGATATATATGAAAGACTTGTGGGCCAACCTGGAATGTGGCCCCACATGACATTGCCCACATGCCTTGTGCCTAGCTCTCTCTTTGAAGCACCTATTAGAGAGACCAATTCCACTTTATATGAACTTTGGTCTTTTACCGTTACACAAGTGAGTTTTACCATTCTAGGTGTGTCATCCTGAACTTGGTTTTGAGTGCCAAAACTAGGTTTGAAGTGGCACAATGTCGCCCCCAAACATGCACCATATTTCTGTTCAATCGAAGTCAGTGAAGCGTTTGAGAGGAATTGTAAATGAACTTTGCAGGGCCATGTCTGTAATTGCTTATACTGTACATGCGGATCTGGTCCTCCCTTTCAGGACGTTCGGTAATAGGACTGTAAATGGATGAGACTATAGGCTTTTGTTTGGAGCTTGGAATGCTCAATAGTATACTTTGAATAATAGTCAATTATAGACAAAATATTGTAAAAAGTACACCCTCCCATTTTATAGGACATTTTTAGAGGTGATTTGGTGTAATAAAATATAAGATGTTTTCAAAAAATGTTTTATTAATGATAATTGTTTTAATATTATCATTCATTATTTCACTCTTTAAATAAATTTTCTCTCCATCCCTCTCGCTCATTTCATTAGTGAAGGTATTTTTAGAAATTTATAAAAATTTACTATAAACTGTATTTAATGAATTTCATTTGCATATTAATTTTATTTAAAAAATGTTTTATAAATTAGGATGGAGGAAGTAATATTCAATTTCTCTCCTTTATCTATCTATTATCATGATCCAGAAAGTGAAAGGTGAAGCTTTTGGTTTATCAAAAAGAAAAGGAAAGTGACTTTTCTCTTTATGCGCAAGGAAATCATGGGCTTCAAATAAAATCATTAAATTAAAATTTCAAACAAACAAATTAGCCACACGGTAGCCCTGCAGTTTTAATTTTAAATACAAAAATATAGATCATAGATCGTTGATGGGGAATATTTGAATTCTATATTCTGGAAAATCTCGTCATTCGAAGGCCAAATACTTAGATATGAAAGTAGTCCAAAAGAGAGAGATTAAAATAAGAGAACACGCATCTTGCGGGTCAGACTAAAAGACTAAAAAATAAATAGTGATATAAATAAATTTATGCAAACTGATACACGCATTGAGGGAGTCTTTTTAACTTTTTTTTTTAATCTTAAAATTATCTAATATATGTACATATATTTATATGATATTGTGGTATTGAATTTGAGCACTATTAAGCTTAACTAATGGCAGAACATGGAATTTTTTTCGTTCACACTATCCAAACTCTGGCTTTTAAAAGGACAAATTCTTTCACTCACCTCAACCATGCTCTTCCGTATTTAAAAATATAAGATATTTTTAATCAAATTTTATACTTAATAAAATAGTTGTTTATCTTCAAATTAACTTTATTGGTTTATATTTATCCCTATTTAATAAGATATTTTATTCTAAAATAAATATAAAGTGATTTATTTAATAGAGATTTTTTTAAAAAAAGGTAATTGTTACATTTACTAAAAATGCATTATGTTTTTGAACATCTAATTTCTTTAAAAATGCCTTACATTTTTTAACTGAGGGAGTAATTAGTATTCTTTTTGTTAAAAAGTGTAAAGCATTTTTAACTAAATCATCAATCTTCTAATAAAATAGTTATTTGCTTTCAAATTAATTTTATCTTTTCATATTTACTCCTATTTAATATAGTATTTTACCTTGAAATAAATATAAAGTGATTTATTCAATAGGAAAACTTAAAAAAAAGGTAATAATTACACCTTAAAAAAATAAAAATATCTTTCATTTTGAAACATTCAATGTCTCAAAAAATGTCTTATATTTTTCATCAGAGGAAGTATCTAATTTCTCTTATAGCTAGCATAATAATTAATTCTCACATAAAATTAGTTTCATTGAACCTTTCTGCCCAAACTCTTGCTACTTTTTTTATAAATATAATTATCAATTATTTAATATTATTGAGTCAAATTTAAAAGTAGCTCTTTTAGCATAATTTTTTTTATTCATAATGTTCAAGCCTTTAATCTTTTTTTTTTTTGTTTTTAAACAATCAAATTCCTTCCAGTTAACAACAACTATTGGGGCTTGGCAGTGAAAAACCTTTTCATTCTGGACAATAATTCAATTAAGCAAAGCTAGTACTCAGTTCCTTAAAAAATATAAGGTTTTTTGAAGGGTTAGTTGTTAAAAATATAAAATATTTTTAAGGCTTTGAGGTATTGTTAACGTGTTTTTTTACAAAAATGTCTATAATAAGTAAATTATTTTATATTTATTTAAAAATAAAATATCCTATTAAATATGGGTCAATATAAAAAAATAATGTTAGTTTGTATGCAATTAATTATTTTTATTAAAGATGAGATTCAGTTAAAAATGTCTTAATTTTTTAATAGAAGGAATATCTCATTTTGCTGGCATAATTATTAATTCTCACAAAAAAAATTATTGTAAATTCTCACAAAAGTCAGTCTTATTGATTTCAAACTTTTTCCCAACCTCTTGGAAGTTATTAATTAATTATTAAATCGAATTCTTTTTCAGTTTTAGTGTTGCATGGCTAGAAGTTTTGTTACTTAGTGACATGCAAATTATTCAGTGAGAGGTCACAATTCCCGCTTGTAACCAAATATTATTAGTACCTGTCATTCTAAATGTTAAAAAGCGTGCCATTATGGTTGTAACTTGTGAGGCATGTAGCGTGGTCAATCAGGTTACTTGTGCCTCGTATGAGTTATTAAAGATATTTACATACATTAATATTTAATTTTTTTTGTGAAGGATAATATATAGTTTTACTTAAAAAATTATTGCAAGTGCTTTCAATATTTTTTTTTTGGGTGAAAAGTGCTTTCAATATTTAATTATATGTATGTCACACTTTTTTTTAAATGAAAAATTGAATACACGCAAATATAGATATACAATGTATCAATAAGTACAAGACTTATGTTCTTAATTTTATATAATTAATTAATATATATTTATTCAATCAAATTAAGACATGTAGATTTTAATATATTAATAATATTAATAATAATTTATTATAGAATAAATAATTTATAAAAGATATATATATCTTATTTTCATTGAAAATAAGAATATTAAACATATAAAATTAAGTGTGTATATATATATATATATATATATTTTAACTTTTATATATGACAATTGTTGATAAGGCAAGCGTTAGATGCTTAGTTGTATATATTCAATATATTTTTATTCATTTAAATTAAAAAGTTAGATTTTGATATGTTAATAATATTAACAATAAAAGTTTGTTATAGACTAAATAATATAAAAAATTTATGATTTAATTGAAAGCAAGTTTTTTGAATATATAAGATTAAGTATATACACTTTCCCTTAAAATAATATCAATAATTTGTATTTAGTTTTAGAGTTGGCTTCTTTCCTCTGCACCTTTCAGTAGAGGTGTGGAATCTTGATGGTCTAAATTTAATATATTAAGCATATACTGTTTAGAATATATTTAAAATGTTAATTTATAAAAAAAAATTGATATTAAATGTGAACTATTTATATTAAATTTAAACTGTCCAAAAAGGTAAGCAGATTTATTAAATTTTTTTATAATTTATCTATTTTTTATTTTAAAAAATGTAAAATAAAAAATAAAAAAATAAAATCTAGACCTTTCAAATTAGAGTATGCACCACCCAAGCTGACTACATTTAATCTTCCCAACATAAAATCCCAATGATCCATTCTCATCGCATGGGGTTGGCGCTACATTACGAAAAGGACCCACATGACTCGAATCTTTAAAGAAAAATTTATATATTCATAGAGTCATATGATTGATAACTTGATCAATAAGTTCAAAACAGCACAAAACAAACTCTATCAAGAAAAAAAGTTCGAAACAAATAAATTAAAACTTTTTTAAATTTTTATAACATCTTTTTATTAAAATATTTTCTTTTCATATTTTTCTATATAAATATATATTTTAAAGCTATTTTAATTTAAGAAATTATTAACAATATAGCATTTTCCCCCACAAATAACCCAACCAAGAATATGTCAATTGAATTTGAGGTTTTTCTTTTATAATTACCTGTCTATTGTTGAATTAGATTTGACTATGGTCCTGCTTAATTGAAGTACTCCTTCAAAAACTTCTTTTGCATTTTTTTTACACCAATAAGTAAAATTTATATTTATTTTCTTAATATTTTTATTAAACAATACTCACTTGGCTCAAAATCATAAATAAGGCACTTTTTGAGAAGGATCACATTTAAAACTATAAAACATTTTGATATTTTGTAAGAGTTACCAATGATGTTTTTCAAAAATACCTTTATTAAATATTTTAAATTAATGAAAATTATATATTTAATATTTATAATTAATTTATTTTATTAAATAAAGATAGACATGAAAAAATTATATAGTTTTTAGTGATATTAACTATTTTTTAAAAATAAAAGTTAGTTAAAAATATGTTATAATTCTTTTTTAATTTCAGTTAACTATTTTTTAAATACAATTTAATTTAAAATACGTTATAATTATCTTTATTTACAAATACGTCATAATTCTATACTAAGTATTATATTTATTTATCATAAGTAATTACTAATTTCAACTTTATGATACAAAAATAGCTGAACATAATAATTCTGAAGGGGGACCCGACCCGTGAGTTGTGAAGCGGTTAATTAATAAGATGGCGACCAGGGGGCAAAAGGAAATTAATAAGATGACGACAAAGGCGCATTTGCCGTACGCCTTTACGTACCCGATCACGCTCTCACTAACTGACCATATCACGGCTTCACGTTCTTCTTCCTGCTCCATGGCTCGTGTTTCTCTGTCTCACTCAAACTTCTTCTCTTGCTTTCTCTCTCGTTGAGTGATCGATCCAGACCCCAGGGTGTTGGATTTTCGTCTGCTCTTTTCTGTGCAACACCACAGATCTTCTGACTCAAGCCCGGATTCAACGCTTTCTTTTTCTTGATTTTTACTTGTCCGATCTGATATCTGCTTCAGAATGCCGGCTGTTTACGGAGCTCGCTTGACAACCTTCGAAGACTCCGAGAAGGAGAGTGAATACGGTTACGTTCGTAAAGTATGCCCTGCTTCTCGATCAGTTCTTTTCATTCCGATTTAATTGGTGTGCTCGGATAGAATTGGTTTGACTCGTCTGGATTTAGTTTCACTCGTGTTTTTATGTTTTGAATATTGTTTTTAAGTGTAATATATGCATTCAGTTTTGATCATGGGGTCAAATTGTGCGGTTTGGTTACTGGTGTCCAGCTTGTCGAAGGCGGGATTAATGCTCTTATTCATCCTCTGCTTTGTGACTTTGTCGTCATTTTTCATTAGCTGGAGTTTACAAATTGAGGCCTTTGACCGTTGATATGAGAAGTTTAGTATGAAAGCATCCGAATTTATTTTGAACTTGAACGTCTCTATTTCGGAGTCTGTTCACTGTTTGCTTTTTTATGCGACAAAAGGGAACACCATTGGGTGTTTGTATGGTGTTGTGAACTTATGATATGTTGACACAAGTTTATTTTGCTTCATTGAGGATCGGAGGGCATGTCAGGTTGCTCTTATCCTGTTGCAGATATATCCCTTGCGTCAATGGTCCACTTGATGTTAAATTTTCATTAAACTATTTGGTTGGAAACTTTGACGTAATTTCCAGGGATGCTGAAATTGTATCATTGTGCCTTTCCTAACTTCCACAGGTATCGGGACCAGTCGTGGTTGCAGATGGCATGGCTGGGGCTGCTATGGATGAACTAGTGCGTGTTGGTCGGGATAACCTCATTGGTGAAATTATTCGCTTGGAAGGGGATTCTGCTACTATCCAAGGTCTTAATTCTTTTTGCCTTTCATAACAATTCTGTTATCAAAAGGGTTTCTTTTAGCTATCCTTTATTGTGCCTACCAACTATTTTGCATGATTATCTTACCCTATAACAAGGGTCGTTTTACCAGCTGTGATATACCCTTGTTGAGGATACAAGACTTTCCTATCTTTACTGAAGTTTTTGATGCGTAAATACTTGTTTCTTTACAATTCTAGTTTATGAGGAAACAGCTGGCTTAACGGTGAACGATCCTGTCCTCCGGACACACAAGGTGAGATCTGGTATATCCGTTTTCTTCATTGTTTGAATACATTGTTGCTTGCTTCTGTTGACAAGTTGTACATTATATAACAGCCTTTATCAGTGGAGTTGGGGCCTGGAATATTGGAAAATATTTTTGATGGTATTCAGGTTTGCTTTTCTTTTATCTGGAATATATTTTCTTTCATAGTGGCAAACTCATTCAGTATTTTAAGATTCTTTTTCTCCAGTGAATTGCAATGTTGGATTAATCTGTTCTTCCCAACTTATAATTTTTTGAATTTTGATTTAAACAGAGGCCTTTGAAAACTATTGCTAAAAGATCTGGTGATGTTTATATTCCTCGTGGTGTCTCTGTTCCAGCGCTTGATAAAGATACACTTTGGGAGTTTCAGCCTAAAAAAATTGGTAACCATAAAAGCATAATTCTTAATCTACTGTCAAGTTCTAACTAGAAAGAATATCATTTTTTATTGTAACCACCTCTTTCCCGCCTCCCCATTTTCCCCCTTTTTCTGAGATTCAACTTTTAATGTGGCAGGTGAATGGGACCTTTTGACTGGTGGAGATTTATACGCTGTATGTTTTAAACTGAATTAGATTTGTTGGTAAATGACTCCATTTTAATCTCCTAAAGCATTGTGGGAATCAATTCTTATTGCAGACGGTTTTTGAGAACAGTTTAATGCAACACCACGTTGCACTTCCTCCTGATGCAATGGGAAAAATAACATACATTGCCCCACCTGGTCAATATTCCCTGAAGGTTTGTCATTTTGTTTATTTTCGTTTGAATCTCAAGCATACTTTCTGTTCCAAGGTCATTCTTTGTTCAGTTATTACTACTTCAAGTTTTCAAGTTGTTTTAACAGTTATTTTTGTAGCTTTTCTCCAGTTTATAATATAGTTCTTTTAATACAAATGTACCCTTTAGTTTATTCAGGAACTACTCTATGTTGCAGTATGTGATTTTAGAATTTCAAATGTTTTTGCAGGATACTGTGTTGGAGCTTGAGTTTCAAGGTGTCAAAAAACAGTTCACAATGCTTCAGGTTTCATAGTTTTTTTTTTCGGTTACTTTGTTGAAGCGACTTTGTTTTCTTTTGTTTATCCTTTGTTACAAAAGATTTTCTTAATTTCCATGTACTTTTTCCCCATTTGCAGACATGGCCTGTGCGAACTCCGAGGCCTGTTGCATCAAAACTAGCAGCTGACACTCCTCTGCTTACGGGTCAGGTAAAACTTAATTGTTATCAGTTGTCTTCTCCTTGAACTAATTCTGATAGCTTTCTTTTGTTACATCTTTTTATCAGCGTGTTCTTGATGCCCTTTTCCCTTCTGTTCTTGGCGGGACTTGTGCAATACCTGGAGCTTTTGGTTGTGGTAAAACTGTCATTAGTCAGGCTCTTTCAAAGGTGAACCTCAGTCAACTTTTCATGGCATAATTTTGCAATAATGGAATGTTTTCCTTATTTTATTGAGATTTTATAATTTTCTGCAGTATTCCAACTCTGATGCTGTTGTTTATGTTGGTTGTGGGGAACGTGGAAATGAAATGGCAGAGGTATCTCTTCTTCTTAGTTCTTATTTACATTTACTGAAAGTAAAAAACCTGTGTTAATTTGTTTTGCAGTTGGTCAAGCTAAGTATCTTCTGATTTTTCATTAAAACATAGTAAAAAATAATTAATGATTGTTCAGGTCTTGATGGACTTTCCACAACTTACAATGACATTACCTGATGGCCGAGAAGAATCTGTTATGAAGCGAACAACGCTGGTGGCTAACACTTCAAACATGCCTGTGGCTGCTCGTGAGGCTTCAATTTATACAGGTTTCTTCTAGCCTCTAATTGTAGCATATCATTGTGTTTTTGAGCTTTCTCCCCTTGCAAAATCTTCGTTGTTGTAGTTATAACAATTGCACTTACAGTGTCAAAAGTGAGGAAGATCCTTTATCTCCAAAATAAATGGGAGTGATGTATTCTGCATATTTATTTTCTATGCTGTCTTACTCCTATATCAACAACCTGAACTAAAGCATCAATTTTATATATTGCATGTTAATCGCTACTCTGTCCTATCTGCAAGCATTTTTGGTAGTCAATTTTCTATGCTTAAAAGTGGTAATGGGATATAACCAGTTATACTGATGAGAAAGATTGCACCCTTTGGATGGTAACCGAGATGGGAAAAAATTACTTAAAATTTTCAATACGTATTGAATGTCTCTGTAAATACTGTTATTTAGAATAGGTTAACTGGGTGAAGCTGTTTATTGGAAGAGAGAACGAACTAATGGGAGGTCTATTTTGACTTTGCTATGTTTTGGAATCCCAGGAATCACTCTAGCTGAGTACTTTAGAGATATGGGCTACAATGTCAGCATGATGGCAGATTCAACATCTAGATGGGCAGAAGCATTGCGTGAAATCTCTGGACGGCTGGTGAGCATTTTAAGTTCTAGAATGACTATTTTCACAAATTTCTCGCAGAATAGGCCTTTCTTCCCCTTCTTTTCTAAAAAACTTTTGTATTTTTTGCTAATTAACTCATATTGTCTCTCGTAATAATTTCATTATAGCATACAAGTATAATTTGGCATGACACATATGGAAACCATTGACATTGATTAGTATTTTGTACAAGATTCATCTGTCTTCAACTTTCTTAGCTAACTCTAGTTGTTTTTGTCTTACACAGGCAGAAATGCCTGCAGATAGTGGATATCCTGCTTACCTTGCTGCACGTTTAGCTTCTTTCTATGAACGTGCTGGCAAAGTAAAATGCCTTGGAGGTCCCGAACGTACTGGTAGCATCACAATTGTTGGTGCTGTTTCTCCACCTGGAGGAGATTTCTCTGATCCTGTGACATCTGCAACCCTTAGCATAGTTCAGGTAAAACAAATACTTTCAATTGTGCTTATAAAAATGGAGTAGCTACTTGGGAAGCAAGATTGCCTCAGAGTATCTACCAATTCCCATTAATTCAACTCAATTTGGGCAATTAGTGACTATTTTTGCAGATTTTTCCTCTTTCTAGTCCTGCTTAACCTATTCAGTCATTATGAGTTGATTTTTGCTACTTTTCAGGTTTTCTGGGGTTTGGACAAAAAGCTTGCCCAAAGGAAGCATTTTCCTTCTGTGAACTGGCTTATTTCCTATTCAAAGTACTCGGGTGTATGTACTTGATCTGTTGCCTAATGTTTTGTTCGCTTTATTCAGGGAGTAGCCTTAGTCATTTGCAACTGCTGTTGATTGTATACCTGCTTTTATGAACTTTTGTATTTGTTCCTTCAGGCATTGGAATCCTTCTATGAGCAATTTGATCCAGATTTCATAAACATTAGGACAAAGGCTCGTGAAGTGCTGCAGAGAGAAGATGACCTCAATGAAATTGTCCAAGTATGTCCTCTTATTAGTTCTATCTCTTGAATTTAAGTTGATAAAGTATTAAACGACTCTACCATCTAATAGGAGGGATGGCATTAAAAACTGTTCAACTTATCTTGAGGAAACAGGAGGTATCATAATATGAGAACCGACTGGTTTGAAGTTCAGTCTGTTAAACCTAATTAACCTTTAACAATAGTATGATGATGAATGGAACTTGAAATCACTATACTGCATCATGGCCACCTGTTGTTTTGGCCACACATGTCTGGAAACCTTTCATTTACAACTAATATTTGGCCTGATGTCAAAAACACTGCAGCTTGTAGGCAAGGACGCTTTAGCTGAAGGAGATAAGATCACATTAGAAACTGCAAAGCTTTTGAGAGAGGATTATCTTGCTCAGAATGCTTTTACTCCGTAAGTGCTCCTGTTTCTTGTTTCTTAATTTTCAGCATTAAACTTGTTAAGTGCTTAGATTCCTACAATTGGTTTTAACTGTACTTATGCACCTTTAATGTGACCTTGACAGATATGACAAATTCTGTCCCTTCTATAAATCTGTTTGGATGATGCGCAACATTATCCATTTCTACAACTTGGCAAATCAGGTAATTTTTCAAACTACGGTGTAATCAATTAGGAAGTGGCCTGATGTTTGTCACTGATTACAAAATTGGAAGGAAAAGTAAGTTTCATATTTTCAGTCTGCCAGTCACTCCATTGTGGGGTGACCAATTTTCCATGTATATTTGTGGGCATTCAGATTCTTTGATGCTTTGTGTTTTTTCCCCCTTTGCCCTTCCCCGGATTATTGAGACAATGGACTGATGATTTCTTTATGCATTGCATTGTGAAAAAGGCATTTGAATTAAGTCGGCTAAATTGCATTAAAATGGCTAGTCCTTGACATGTGGAGTGGCTGAATGAATGTGCAGGCAGTGGAGAGGGGAGCTGGTACAGATGGTCAGAAGATCACATACACCCTCATTAAGCATCGTTTGGGAGATCTCTTCTACCGTTTAGTGTAAGTAACTTATTTGCAAAAATAAAAGCAACAATTACAATAATCCTTATCTCGCAGTCGCCAGGTGGGGCTAGCTACATGAATTGCACGATTGTGCTCTATCAACATCTAAATCTCTCAAAATATTATTAACGAGAAGATCCATTTCAATAATTTTATTTGGTCACAGGACTCAGAATTGTCTATTCTATCCTCCTCACGCCATTTTTAACCATTTTTTCTACATTAGATGCCACACTAACTCTTTCTTGTATGAAAAGAGTTGAGGATCTGTTTACCTGCCTGACGTTTTATAGAAAGTGGGCCCTAATCTGTTTACCTGCCTGACACTGCAGGTCGCAGAAATTTGAAGATCCAGCAGAAGGTGAAGCAGCTCTGGTTGGCAAATTTAAGAAGCTTCATGAGGACCTGACTAACGGTTTCCGCAATCTTGAGGATGAAACCCGATAGATTGTATAATTTATTAATTTTAGATTGCAAAATGTGTTGATGGTTTCATTCAAAGCGGCGGTCAAGGAATCCTGTGGTTGGGGTGATTGTTTTGTTCGAGTTGTGCAGGAATCCAACCTTGTCAGGTCGTTCAGATCACATCATTTTCCTGCTACAGGTTTTGGCTATCTATATATTTGCTTTGTGGAGCGATTTTCTCATATTCTTCTCCACATGTATTTATGCAAATAAGTGTTTGTTAGAAATTGAAATGCTCCCAGACAGCTGTGATTCAAGTTTATTTTGGGCACTCATTCAGTATCGAAAACTTATGCTGTCATGTATCCAATATATATATATATATATATTATTGGGAAAGTTTCAGGGTCTAATTTTAAAGGGAAATTGACAATTATGAACTCCATACAAATATTAATGATAATTACAAAAATTAAATTATTAAAATTTTAATGATAAATTATGATCCTTACTTGCAATTAAAAAATGTGAATAATCAATTGAAAAATCTATTAAATACACTTAAAATTATTTGTAATGTTAATTAAGAATTTATTAAAGTTAGTTATGAATCTCGATTTTTTTCTATCAACGTATAAATAAACCTCTTGAGAAATTAAGTAAATATATTTGGAATTAATTGTAACGTTGTTTGAAAATTTATGAGAGTTAGTTGTGAATCAAAAGTTAGTCACTTATATTTTTTTATTGTTAATATAAAGATAAATTGCTTGAAAAATCTATTAAATATACTTAGAATTATTTATAATGTTAGTTGAAAATTTATAAGAGTTAATTGTGAATCATAAGTTAATTATTTATATTTTTTGCTATCACTTGAAAAATTAACAAAAGATAGTTGAAAATCTTGGCAATATTAGTTAGGAATTTACTTAAGGCTATTGTGAATCTTAAATCAATCAACAAAAAATAATTTATTACAAATAAAAACAATGGTTTGTTATTAACATTTTAATAATTCAGGATTTGTGTTGTTATTAATGTTATTTAATTTCATTTTCCCAATTATAAATCACATGCATAACTTACTTAATAAAACCTACAATTTATTATCAATGAGCACTCGGTAAAGTTGGCAAGGATTATTATCGACATTTCTCAAGATGAAGATTTGAACCTTGAGAAGCGACAAATGCGATGATTAACAAAGAGATCGTTCTATTGATACCTCGCTATCATTGTAAGATCTCCTTGCAGTGAGTCTGGATTAGTCTAGGGCGAACAATAAATCCAATTGTAAGATCTCCTTGCAATAAGTCTAGATTAATTTAGGGCGAACAATGAATCCAAAATATTTTAGGATATTGAATGATTTATACCAAAAAAAAAAAATAAAATCATCCAAAAGAAAGCAAACACAAACAAGAAAACACCAAACAACACTTTTTACTACATTTTCATTCTCTGCAAGCAACACTTCGAAAAATTTACAAACAAAATAGAAAAAGATTAACTTTTTGTGATGCCTGTGAAAAGATTGTAAAAATGTGATGAGGAAAAGTGGTATTAGATAATTAAAATCCTCAAAACCATGAATTTGGTGGAATCAATTATTACAAGCTTTTACCAAACTCATGGTTTCGATAACTATCAACCTTAAAAAAACAAAAAAACGGCTTGAATGCCTAAATTATTTGTTGAGCGCAAGGTGGTATAGGAAAATGAAAATATAGAAATAAAAAATCAAGTTCCAACCAAGGACTTTCTAAACCAAATTTAACATCAGAATTACAAAACATTCCAAGATAGAAATATATTTTAAGCGTGGCGTCAACAGCTATTGTGCACAGCATAGAAAATACACACGTCATAGAGACAAATGAAAGGTGGAACTCATATTTGTACACTAGGCTCAATCATCCAGGGCCTACTTTGGGGATATCGTAGTGCTCGCTCATGTTTGCCAAATACTGATTGAAATCCTGAATTCTGTCCCGGTGAGATTTGTTGGCAGTCTTAGCCAATCTATGAACATCAAGCTGTTCTCTTTGTTCGATGTATCGTCTCTCTGCCGGTGTAAGATGATCATCATAATGAGGAGCCTTCCCTTCCCCAATTGATTTGTTCACATGATCAATGTCTTGATCATTAGGATCCTTAGCTTGTTCAGCACTTCCACCTGCATTATCCGAATTCTATGAGACACTTTATGGTATGATAATAATAGAAAGATTAAGGAATGGCGGAACAGATAGAACTAATGAACAGTTAAATTTATCGCTAATTTATGGATGAACACTTTGTGGCCAAGACACAGATAAACAAAAGTAACTGATATTCTGATTGCACAGCAGCTTTTGCTTGCAGAGAGCCTGCAAAGTTAACTGACACGTAACATTAAAATGGAAAAATGCCACCATTTTTTGGCTTCAAGTTATTGCCCTCCATTATACCTTCCAATCAGTGAGAGAAATCATGATCTATTTTGATTCAAACAAAAAATATCTCGCTTCCAGTTAAGCAAAAATGCGAGCCACATGAGCAGGCAATAAGTGACCCAGATACATGATATTCAGAGACACCAGAAAAATGACTAACGACAAATTCATTTAATCAGCATCCATTAGGCACCAACGAAAAGAAGCCTCACCCATTACCAGGAGAAATCATGGGATCAATCACTATTTTGTTGAGCTACACGTTCAACAGAGTAATTAAAATGTTAACTTTTTATCCCTGACCTCCGTTAACCGTGACCATGAGTGCCACAAATCCAGTGGTCCTGTTATTCCAAAATTCCAGGCGTATCCTCAATGTGATCTTTCTTGAATATAGACAAATCAGTTAACCTACCATATAAATAAAGCAGCAGGTCCTAGCTACAATAGCCGATATAGTTGATAATCTCACATCACCCCAATTCCAAGAGCTTTTTCTCAGCGATATCTTGAGCCATTTACTACCATATATGAAACATCACCAATTGGGATAAACCTTTTACATGACCTCAGCTCAACAATCACTTACTCAAATAATTAATTGACTGATAATTTATAGTCTCAACACTTAACCTTGAATGACAACAACCACTTCGTAATTTGATTTAAGACCTGAGTTAATTACATAAGCTATAACGAATCAATGCTGCAATAAAAAAAAAACCAACCTTCCAAAAACTCATTTTCAGTGGATTCTAAGATTTGATCTTGATTCTTATTCTTCTTCTTCTTCTTCTTCACTCCACCAGCCTTCACATCCAGGGCCTTTCCCTTAAGCTTCAATTTCCCACCAACAACATTGTCATAAGACGACATCTCTGTCAAGCAATCAACAAAGTCAGTGATTTTGTTCTACCCATAGGCGGACCTATAATACCCTTTTAATTTTTGCTCCAGATACTTCGACACAACTCGAGCCAAGTCATTTACAAGATCATACATCACAAATGCCAATACACAACAAATCCAACATTGCAAAACAACATAATCCAAATCATACAAGTCGCTAGCCAATTACACACCCTTCAAGCAAACACTAGTACCCGAAAGAAAACAAAAAACCTGAATATGTAAATATTCCGTAATTCAAAAGCGCCAATATTCAACGATTAAACAACCAGATTCAAAGCCAAATTAAATAAAAAATTTAAAACAAAGCAAGAACAGCTACGCAGGGAACAGGTGATGCGGGGAACTAATTCAAATCTAGTTTTAAAGCCCGATTGAACAAATCAATTTCACCGAATTTTCGGGAGTAGAAAAAGTCCTAGAGTTCAAACCTTCTTCACTGCTTGCCCGAGAAGGACCACGCAGGGCTGACAACGGCGGACAGCGTCCGACGGAGTGTGGAATGCTTGTTCGTCGACGAAGAGAAACTGGATCCGGTACTCACGATAATGTGTTTTATCGAGGTTATAATTAATTTTAGGAAGAATTTGGTTATTAATTTATATTTTTTTATCATATTCTATTAACTTATATTATGAATTTATATTCAACTCTTATATATCAAATAATATTCAAACAAGATAAGATTTTTTTTTTTTTTGAAATTTTTGGATATATCAATTATACTTTTATTTTTTATTTTTTTCATTCTTATTTTTTGCTATTTTCTCATGCCCATTTCTTCGCAATTTTTCTCAGATATAATTAAAAAGAATCTCAACTTTTTACCATGTTAAGTTAGATGAGAGAGGTGAAGTTGTTTTACAAAAAAAAAAAAAAAACAGTAGAACAGATAAAAATATAGTATGATGACGCATAATTTTATATTAACAAAATCTTGCTCTTTCTGATCTTATTTATAGGATAGGAAGAAAATTTTTTTTTTACTCTATTTATAAGTTATTTTATTAAATTTTTTTTCATTTGACTTTTATTAAATGCTGGAAAGAGTAAATAAGTTATTAATATATATATATATATATATTTAATTGTTAAGAAAGAATATATTTAATAAGAATAAAATTAATAAATTATTAGATTTCTAAATATAATTAATAAATTTTAATTTTTTTAATTTCAGTAAATCATGTTAAAACTTAAAAGTATAATGAGAATTAGGATCAGGAGTATATTTTTCTTACTATTACAGTCCATCATGAACACGCCTTGCGTGCAAGCCGGAAGGAAGCTGTTCCAGTGTTAAATTGCTCACTTTTTTGGCTTGGTTATATGAGTATCAGGAGATACATTGATTTAACCCAATCTAATTGTGAATAATATTCTAGTGTTTATTCACAATTAACAATGATATTTAAATATTTTATTTTGGATATAATAATGTTAATTACTATTAAACTGTTAATGAATGAAAATGTTGTAACTTGAAGTTAGAACTAAATAATTTATCAGAATTTAATGATTATAGTGTAGAAAACTCATTACCAAATTCAAATGGTTTCCTTTTGGCTGGAAACTAAATTCAAGAGTTTGATAGCAAAAAAATTCGGTCGTATACAAAATTAAGCATGGTATTGAAAACCGGACCGGACCGGCCGGGTCAACCCGGAAACCGGTGAACCGGTCCCCTGTCCGGTCTGGGTTTGCACTTAACCCGGTGAGAGAGTGAACCGGTGTAACCCGGTCAACCCGGGTTCAACCCGGTATAACCCGGATAACCCGGTGGGTTGACTGGGTTAACCGGGTTAATATTTTTTCAGACTTTTACCCCAAAACGACGTCGTTTTTGATTTTTTTTTTCATTTTTAATTTTTCAGAGCTCTGAGTTCGGAAAAAAATAACAAAAAAAAGTAAAATTGAAGTCAAAAAATAAAAAATTAGAGATAGAGCATGCTAAGTCCAAAAATATAGTATTTTATTATTGTTAGACTTTTGAGTGGTTGGATTTGGTTGAATGTTTTTATAATTAATGTCTTTTTATTTAAATTGTATTATTTTAATCATGACCGGTTTGCCACCGGTTCAACCCCCGGTTCAACCCTGATTGAACCACTAACCCGTGACCCAATGCCATGACCGGTTTAATGACCGGTCCGGTTTTACGTACCTTGGTTAAAAGTATAATGAGAATTAGGATCAGGAGTATATTTTTCTTACTATTACAGTCCATCATGAACACGCCTTGCGTGCAAGCCGGAAGGAAGCTGTTCCAGTGTTAAATTGCTCACTTTTTTTGGCTTGGTTATATGAGTATCAGGAGATACATTGATTTAACCCAATCTAATTGTGAATAATATTCTAGTGTTTATTCACAATTAACAATGATATTTAAATATTTTATTTTGGATATAATAATGTTAATTACTATTAAACTGTTAATGAATGAAAATGTTGTAACTTGAAGTTAGAACTAAATAATTTATCAGAATTTAATGATTATAGTGTAGAAAACTCATTACCAAATTCAAATGGTTTCCTTTTGGCTGGAAACTAAATTCAAGAGTTTGATAGCAAAAAAATTCGGTCGTATACAAAATTAAGCATGGTATTGAAAACCGGACCGGACCGGCCGGGTCAACCCGGAAACCGGTGAACCGGTCCCCTGTCCGGTCTGGGTTTGCACTTAACCCGGTGAGAGAGTGAACCGGTGTAACCCGGTCAACCCGGGTTCAACCCGGTATAACCCGGATAACCCGGTGGGTTGACTGGGTTAACCGGGTTAATATTTTTTCAGACTTTTACCCCAAAACGACGTCGTTTTTGATTTTTTTTTTCATTTTTAATTTTTCAGAGCTCTGAGTTCGGAAAAAAATAACAAAAAAAAGTAAAATTGAAGTCAAAAAATAAAAAATTAGAGATAGAGCATGCTAAGTCCAAAAATATAGTATTTTATTATTGTTAGACTTTTGAGTGGTTGGATTTGGTTGAATGTTTTTATAATTAATGTCTTTTTATTTAAATTGTATTATTTTAATCATGACCGGTTTGCCACCGGTTCAACCCCCGGTTCAACCCTGATTGAACCACTAACCCGTGACCCAATGCCATGACCGGTTTAATGACCGGTCCGGTTTTACGTACCTTGGTTAAAAGTATAATGAGAATTAGGATCAGGAGTATATTTTTCTTACTATTACAGTCCATCATGAACACGCCTTGCGTGCAAGCCGGAAGGAAGCTGTTCCAGTGTTAAATTGCTCACTTTTTTTGGCTTGGTTATATGAGTATCAGGAGATACATTGATTTAACCCAATCTAATTGTGAATAATATTCTAGTGTTTATTCACAATTAACAATGATATTTAAATATTTTATTTTGGATATAATAATGTTAATTACTATTAAACTGTTAATGAATGAAAATGTTGTAACTTGAAGTTAGAACTAAATAATTTATCAGAATTTAATGATTATAGTGTAGAAAACTCATTACCAAATTCAAATGGTTTCCTTTTGGCTGGAAACTAAATTCAAGAGTTTGATAGCAAAAAAATTCGGTTGTATACAAAATTAAGCATGGTATTGAAAACCGGACCGGACCGGCCGGGTCAACCCGGAAACCGGTGAACCGGTCCCCTGTCCGGTCTGGGTTTGCACTTAACCCGGTGAGAGAGTGAACCGGTGTAACCCGGTCAACCCGGGTTCAACCCGGTATAACCCGGATAACCCGGTGGGTTGACTGGGTTAACCGGGTTAATATTTTTTCAGACTTTTACCCCAAAACGACGTCGTTTTTGATTTTTTTTTTCATTTTTAATTTTTCAGAGCTCTGAGTTCGGAAAAAAATAACAAAAAAAAGTAAAATTGAAGTCAAAAAATAAAAAATTAGAGATAGAGCATGCTAAGTCCAAAAATATAGTATTTTATTATTGTTAGACTTTTGAGTGGTTGGATTTGGTTGAATGTTTTTATAATTAATGTCTTTTTATTTAAATTGTATTATTTTAATCATGACCGGTTTGCCACCGGTTCAACCCCCGGTTCAACCCTGATTGAACCACTAACCCGTGACCCAATGCCATGACCGGTTTAATGACCGGTCCGGTTTTACGTACCTTGGTTAAAAGTATAATGAGAATTAGGATCAGGAGTATATTTTTCTTACTATTACAGTCCATCATGAACACGCCTTGCGTGCAAGCCGGAAGGAAGCTGTTCCAGTGTTAAATTGCTCACTTTTTTTGGCTTGGTTATATGAGTATCAGGAGATACATTGATTTAACCCAATCTAATTGTGAATAATATTCTAGTGTTTATTCACAATTAACAATGATATTTAAATATTTTATTTTGGATATAATAATGTTAATTACTATTAAACTGTTAATGAATGAAAATGTTGTAACTTGAAGTTAGAACTAAATAATTTATCAGAATTTAATGATTATAGTGTAGAAAACTCATTACCAAATTCAAATGGTTTCCTTTTGGCTGGAAACTAAATTCAAGAGTTTGATAGCAAAAAAATTCGGTCGTATACAAAATTAAGTGTATAATGAGGGGGGCAAAATAGAGAGAAAGAAAAAAGAATCGCACGCGCACACATATATATAAGCTTGATCGGCCAACTAAACCAATCAAGTTTTTTTTTTTTTGGTGAAGACTGACTTGATGAATACGTCATGAGAACATATATTAAAAAATTTGAATCTTATTAAATTTAAAAATGCCTTTTAAATTGCGTGGCTTATACACGGGCACACCCCAACTCCTCCACTTTAACAATTTTCATGGGGATTGAAAGACAAAGGATTGGATTCAATATGGGCATAGCGGAACTTTATGTTGTGAAGGTCAGAATTCTTTGTTGGTAAAAAAAAAAAGTCATTTAAGAATATTCTAAAAAAATGTCAACTAAAGCACCAGGCCGGATGGTTTTATTGCTCTACATATCGGCTTGGAGGGAAGTGAAGGAGGAAGTAATTAAAATGGTAAAGCAGTTTTTTGAGGGTCATTCTGATTTGCATAAGATTAATGGAATATGTATTGTGTTGATTCTAAAAATGAAAGACCTGACTTCGTCAATCACTTTCATCCTATTAAGCTATGCAATGTATCTTACAAGATAATTGCAAAAACTCTGACTATTAGGTTGAGGGGTTTGATGAATAAGTTGATTACTCTTCAATAGAGGAATTTTATTGCGGGAAGATAAATTTAGGAAAATTTTCTTATCACTCATTAGGCTCTTCACTATCTAAGAAGAAGAAAGGAGGGGGTTAGAGCTGAAATGGCTTTAAAGATTGATTTAAATAAAGCATATGATTGGGTTAGTTGGGGTTTCTTATGAAAGTGATGTTTTAAAATGGAGTTTTGTGATAAATGGGCAAAATGGATAACGGAGTGTGTATCTTCTATTATTCTTTATTTCCAAGTCTCTAATATAGGACAGTGGCAAGAATTGTTCCAGGGAGGGGGGTGAGACAAGTAGACCCTTTATCTCCACATGTGTTTGTTATTGCCGTAGATGTTTTGTTGCTTATGATTCATGTAGATAGGAATGATTTGTTGG